ATGTTGCACAAAACAAATACTGAGTGACTTTAAATCGTGAAATTGGGGGAATATTATCGCTCGGTAATTTCTTGGCGTTTTCATTTCAACAAGCTTCATAATTTTCCCTTGTAATGATGTTACTCCAATGCCACTCTGAGCAACTCAGTATTTGTATAATATTCCACAAATATGAGCAGGTTTTACAACACGCTGTTACCCAAGTAATCTCGGGGTTATCGAAAAATCTACATCTGAGATTACCTGGGTGATTGGGAGCATTTACACTACACTTCTCGGGGTTAGAAATTGTCGCAGTTACCAGCCTCAAATCGCCACTTAACCCGGGTAATTTCTAACCCTAAACGTGAGGTGGGTTAACCCACCAATCTCAGGGTTAACGATGGCCTTGAGACGATTCTCTAGGTTACCTTCGGCAATGTGAATGGTCGCAGGGTTTCCTTCATCCCAGTTTTTTTTCGGCGAATGGACAAGATGATTTTCCCGTGTACTTCTTGTGGAGGACATAACTTGTCTTCCTAAGTTAATTTAGTGCACACTATTTGTAAGCCACCATGCTGACCATCTTGACCTCATGCTGCATACACGTGCGTGGCTTTACTGGCATAGGTTTTTTGTTTACATCAGGACACGTAGACACTTCTGTTTTCATTGTCTATTCCAAAACAGGACATTATTTAGAAATACAATCAACGCAATTGGATTGTAGGAGGTTGGAGATTGAGCTACAGTTGTGCTCAAAATAATTCATATCCTTTTGAAAATACCATACTTTTCTAAATTCTTCATTTGTAAAAGCTATTATAACGCTACTTTTGTCTATTTCAGTTGCAAATACATAAACCTACAATGGTTGCTGGCTAAACGTAATTGGCATAATAATAGATACGACCCGAGGTTTTTTTGCTCCTTGTCAAACTTACTCATATCCCAGGTTTACATTGTCCAAATTAGCCTCTTCTTAATAGTCACTACGGCGACCTTTATTCTTGATGACTGCTTCAAGATGGTTCCTGTAAGTGTCCACAAGCTTTCTTCATGTCTCCCATGGGGTGTTTGCCCATTCTGCCTTGGCGAAAGCCAGCTGCGTCAAGTTGGATGGTCTCCTGGCCATCACTCGGTCTTCAGCTCCATCCACAGATTCTCGACTGGATTTAGGTGAGGAATTTGACTTGGCCTTTCCAGTACATGGACACCATTGTCCCTGAACGACCACTTTGGGTCAGTGTCCTGCTTGTACGTCCAATCAAGTCTAAGCTGGGGTTTCTCAGCAGACGCTTTTACATTGTTATCAAGGATCTTGATATAATCTTCCTTTTTCATGATGCCCGGTGCCTCTAGCAAAGAAGCAACCCCTGAACATTATGTTGGCACCACTGTGCTTGACAGTTGGGACTGTGTTCTTCTGCTTGTATGCTTCTCCTCGCTTCCTCCATACGTGAGCAATATCCATGTGGCCAAACAACTCCATCTTTGTCTCATCAGACCACAGGACCGATGACCAAAAGGTAGGATCTTGGTTCAGATGTGCCCTAGCAAATGCCAGATGAGCCTCCTGATGTTTCTTCCCGAGTAGTGGCGTCTTCCTGGGCCTGCGTCCGTGGAGACATCCTTTGTGCAATACTCGCTGGATGGTTTGCCGTGACACCTTCGTCCCTGCCTGGTCAAGGGTATCAATTAGGGCCTTGGTTGTTATCTGGGGGTTGTTGTTGGCCTCCAGACAGATTTTCTGGCGAGTCTAGGAGACACTTTCCGCTTCCGGCCACGCCCATGGAGGTTTGTCGCTGTGTTGAACCTCTTATGCTTCCTGATGATACTCTGAACTTCTGGAACAGTTGCTTGGAAATTTCCTTGTAGCCTTTGCCTTCTTCATGGGCATTCACAATACACTGGTGTACATGTATATCTTCACTGAGTTCCTTCTTCTTGGTCATAATGACGAGTAACTGAGAATGACTGCAAAAGTTTCTTCCTTTTGTACTCTTAGGGGGAGATGGCATTTCATCAGAATCTTGAACACAAAGTCATCAAAAGAAGGTATTTATTTTATTGGAACATCTTGAAATAGCTTCATGCCAAAAGATTCTTGCAGCCACAGAAAGTGAAAATAAGCAGTATGAATGAAAGGACATTTTTTTCTTGGGATTTTGTCTGGGGTATGAATAATTCTGACCAGGAGCAAAAAAGAAACCCGGGCCGAATCTATTATTATTAGCCAATACACATGATGGTTTGTGTATTGCAACAAATAGACAAAAGATTTAGCGGAAGTACCCACATAATAGCGTTTACAAATAAAGAATTTTGGAAAGTACGTTATTTTCCAAAGGGTATGAGTTATTTCGAGCAGAACTGGACGCAGTGCGAACTCACTTCTCCGGGTTTGCCGTTCTTGCAGTGTGAACATGGTTACAAACTACCCGGGTTGGCATGAAAGCCGGTTAGCTAAATTGCGGGGTGACGTTTCGTAGTGTGAAGCCAGTTCTCTGGGTTTAGTTCCTACCCGGGTATGGCCAACTATCCGGGTAAGTCCAAACTAGTGTTAACTGGTCTATATATTACTTTTATATGCTGTGCGTGGAGTAATTCATAGCGTTGAAAAGAAATGAAACACATCGTTTTACAGGAGAGGGCGCAATGGATCGTTTGAATAAAGTGTCCTTGTTCTGCTGGCTACTAGTATAAAAAGATAATGATATGTTTCAACTTGTATCATGTTGGTGCTACATTGATGATGTTTGGTATTTTTGTTGCTGAAATATAACGTTCTTTCATAAAATTCTTCCCTCTCACGGTGGATCGTTTATAAGTTCGTACATACCATGGACATATCACCAGTGTTTGTAAGGGATAGTTAGACAAATAAGGCAAGAATTAGAGAATTTGCAACCAATCATGCACAACAAAAAGTACAAATAATGTATTTTCACAAGAGCAACCATATTTAGGTAACAAGAGTATTTTAAAATTGGACTGAAGTGGTTTATTTGACGTCTTATTACTTTCCGAGAACCATTTCATTTTGATTATTATTATTTTTTTCGGCGAAACAAGAGTAAACAGAACAAACTAGAACATGTATATTAAAAAAAAAGACAAACATCAAACAACAAACCAAAAGAACCCACTTTAAGGTGGCCAGGATTAATAAAAGTGAAAATAAACCACTGTAGCTCGAAAGCCAATTAATCCATCTTTAAAGTGGAACAAAAAACATTAAAGGCAGAGAACTATAATGGCAAGAGAATCACCGGGGAAAAAGAAAGTAGTATAAGAAGTATAGAAAAACATGACACAACTGATTCGGCCAGAAGGTTGAGCTATTTCAGTCAAAGATATGTTTACTTCGTTTAAAATCCTCATATGGCCAAAATGTTACTGCCATTGAAAAGTCTAGTGTGTTGCTTTCATCCACGAGTGAATTTGTTAGCTTGGTTTAGCCACCGCTGTACAAATCAACCGAATATGACCTGTGGAGCAACACACTTACATGCCTGTATGTTATTTATGCACACCATAAGGCCAAGATGCATCCACTTTGACTGGGCTGTGAGTTCATCGGACTGAGAAACTTTGATTTCTACTCTCTCTCTCGAACAACCCCTCTTCCTTTTCCTTCAGCTGAGGGAGATTTTGACCAACCACCTGTCGGACAGTATCAGGATGGAGGCCTACATCAGCAAGCTTCAGTCCACACATTGCAGGAAGACCCCGGAGATGATTGGTCAGAGCCCTGACTGCATTTAAACCAAGTTTGTTGTTGACGATGCGGAGGGACTTCCCCCCCAAAATATAAGGGACACACCACTTTGCACTTGAAATGTGACGTAGTCAATGCCGGTGTTATTTGATGACGAGGTGGCAGTCCATGTCTAGATGTGTGACGACTNTGACATGTACATCGTCTTCGCGCTGTACCGTCACGTGGTCAGTGTATTTGCATAAAGCCCCAAAGCCACCGTGAATAGAAAATTGGGTTGTGCTGTTAGCTTAAATAGCATATTCGCTTCTACGTATTATGTGTGATATGTATAAGCAGTACGCACTCATGCCATTGCAGAACGTCATTGTTGTTTAATTATTGTCCATGAATCAACTAAAGCACTTATGTAATTAATTAGGGTTCATGCTTTTGTATTAATTTATAGGTTTTCTTTCCATTGACGAATAAATTGGAGGTGATTATTTGACGACCTGTGTTACAAGCTGATCCAATCCATCCCTTACCGGGAGACCAGTCTCCCCCCTCCGGATCGTCAGGGTCCGCCCCCAGCGGGTGCGCAAGCGCTGCCGCTACATTATCAAGGATCTTGATATAATCTTCCTTTTTCATGATGCCCGGTGCCTCTAGCAAAGAAGCAACCCCTGAACATTATGTTGGCACCACTGTGCTTGACAGTTGGGACTGTGTTCTTCTGCTTGTATGCTTCTCCTCGCTTCCTCCATGCGTGAGCAATATCCATGTGGCTAAACAACTCCATCTTTGTCTCATCAGACCACAGGACCGATGACCAAAATTCTTCTTTAGACCTACAACGGATTTCAAATATTGGAGCTTCAAGTGACTGCGGGACACACTGTAAGTAATAGGTCAACGATTTCAGGTCTTCGTTACTCTTACATTGTACCTGATTCGGTTGGACTAGTTTGTCAGCGAGATCTGCCGAAGCAGACTCAAACAACAACAGCCGAGCCAGTCTCTGCAGTTTCATCTCGTCTCCTTCCATCTCGCGTATATGATCCAGGATGAGACCAGCAGCCTGCTTTGATCTACCGCAGCAAAACCGAAGGAGATATTCCTTATATTATTATCTGCTGTAATCTGCTTTAACCGGGTACCAAAACTCTCTTCGCCATCTTCAAGCAACTTGACCATGTAACATGCAGCGAAGTATTCCTGGAAAGACTTATGGAGAAAGGTGACCAATACGTTTGTTATGAGACCACTAGTGAATGTTTCACTTTGGAGGAGACCCACTTGAAAAACCTCATCTAGTAGTGTCCCACATTGTTGGAATTCACTCCGATCAAAAATAAGTCTTTCCTCCTCCCCAGGGTTAACTAGTCCTTCCGTTGCAACACGACCTATTCCGTTGATGATTCTCTCCATCAGTTGCCTATCGACAGAGCGACGGAAAAAAAGACAACTAACAAAGTCTGCGTACAACTTTGTCATTTGATGTGGCAGTGACCTCGTATTTTTCCACACAACACAAAGCATCAAGGAAATAATTGGCACATGCGACAATTTTTCTAGTGAGCTATTGCGCTCTAGGCGGTGAACTAATGTTTCTCCGTCTTCGTCATTGGAAAACTGCGTTCTGATATATCTGTGCGTGTTTTCTGATGTAAAGCCTGTTGTTTGAACCTGGGCGTAATTTGGGTAACCCTGGAGTACATAGTCAACCAGGTGTGGTCGTGTTGTTACCAGCACAAAGCTTGTTTTAAGACATCTGTTGCTTAAGATATCTTCGACCCTGTACACACCCTCCTTGGAATGCAAAACATCAGATGGAATTTCATCTAAGCCATCCAGCAGGAAAGCAATGTGTGATTCGTTGTCATCAATGAACTCCTTCACTGTGTGTTTTGTCAGGTTCGTGTTGTTCGATAGAATTTGATCAAAAACTGCATCCAGTACACAGCTTGATTTTTGCATTTGTCTCAGCTTTATCCATATTACCAATTTGAACCTTGCAAGAGGGGATTCCGAATGAAGATTGATGCACGAGTTAGCAATTTGAAGTAAAAGGGTAGATTTACCCATTCCGGCCCCGCCGAAAAGAAGAATCTTATTAATTTTACCTACGATCTTAGGATTGAACAAATCTTCCAAGGAGTCTAGGGTAACCGTCTCCACTTCATCCAAAAATCTCCTCCCACCTGGTAATGACACAGATGGCCCTTGTTTAGTTTTCCCTGAGACCTCCTTTTTGAGACACAGAGGAATAAAGAAGTCTTCAACACCCACACGACGTGACTCGACGGTAGGGTGCGCTGGAATAGTTGTTGCTGTTTGCTGGTAGTACTGGATGACCTGTTGCTTGAGATATTCAAAGCAGTACGGTCCCCTGGGTCTGGCAATTTCTGTGACAAATCAGACAATTTACCCCGTCACTTTTTTTTGCAACTGAAACAAAGCCAGTGAACGCAGTGTATAACTTTTCATATGATATGGCATGAAAAAATATGAAAAAAGTTGCTTAATTAACGTATAATACAAACAAGTGGAAATCTCTATGCACGCACAACCTCATGCAAAACCAGGCCAAGCACCTCTGTGAAACAGTGCTTAAAGTGTAGTTGCAATGATTTTATTTGGACACATTTTCTGCAACTTCGAACTCCTCTCTAATGTATGAAACTCTTTACATTCCTATTAGGTTGAGTGCACTGAAAAGCTCCCTTTAAAACAAACACCATCCATGCTGTCCTGGACGACTGAGGGCGCTGTTGCGAAGATGCCATCCGGGGATGACAGGGTTCAGTGCCATAGGTGTTTTTTGTTCAAATTAGTTTGCACATGAAGTTATGTATAGTTTAAACACCAGAAATGCAGTAAAATTCCCTGTAAAACGTGAAACAAAAATTGAAAATAAAGTCAAATGAGACGCATTTTGAAGGCTTGTCTTGTCTGCAGCTACCCTTGATGTTAGCAAATTCTTCTGCTGCGGTAAGCACGACCATTTTAGCTGACTGTTACACAGCTAAGTGAAATTGGACCCTAGCTGACAAGTACGATAAAAATGCTACTGCGACGATCACCAACACTGTCTCGTTTACTCTAGCTCAAGAGCGTGTCTTCCGTTCAAGAAATCAAAAACCACAGTCTTATATGCAGCAAGTAAAAAGGTTCACGTCCGTGCAGGTGTATGTGGTAGGTTCAGGTTTACCGTGCACTCATACCGCTTGGGATTTATTGTTTCAAAAGAGTGAAAAGGGGCCATGCACAGTTATTGAAAGCTTAGTTGTTCTTTCACTCTTAACCAAAGGTCAATTGCTTCCCGTAAGATCGATTGTGTCTTCCACACTGTCATAATTTTCAACCATAAACAGACGACACCTCTTCAACGTGGTTTTTATTTCTTTTTTAACTTGTCGGTTCTCTGTTTTTCATATTGAGTTTTATTTGAACGTCATAAGAACATGGAACATGTTATTCCGGTCTTTAAGAATATAGTACATCAACATCCAGATTTGACAGAATCTACAGTTTGTCCGCCATGATTCATCCAGTTTGTTTCGTGATGTCATGGACTCTATTGAAGAAGCAAATTAATACTTTAATCCCAAGATTTAATATTTACTCTCGACTTAAAGCTAGCTATGCATATCAATAACATGTTAATTCATTCTATATATACCCACCTGCCAGTTCTGCGACGATGTCGTCTCTACCAATCTCTGTCAGAGCTCTGCATAACGAGTCCACCTGATCAACGCCGATGGATTGTTTGCGCCTCCATCTGACCAGCATGTTGAAGATCTGATTCTCTGTTTGTCCTGGCTTATCCATCTGGATGCGGGAGACCTCTGCAGCGCTTAAGCCAAGAGAAGTCGCGAGCCTCTCCCATTCAGAACCTAGCTTCTCAGCAACCTTTCGCAAAACAGAATCACCGATACCTGCCAACAGAAAAGTATCAACGAAGCCTGCAGAGTTCGCGTAAATACCTCGCATCTTTTTTAGTTGTACATGAGTGTTTTACACTACAATTCACACTGCCGCAGGGATACAAAATATTGCTTTCTTAGACGAGAGATCATCTAACTGCCTGAGAATCAGTAACAAAAATATGAACCCTGGCTGAGTTTTTCTCGAAGCATTCTAGCAATGAAATGAAGGTATTCAGTAACCTCTGCCCAAACACTCTATGCGACTTCTTGTTCTGGTTGTTTTCACTCTTATAAAGGGTCAAACCTTGTTGAGATTTCGTCCCTTAAACAAGAGACAAAATACTCCATATTCTATCAAGCATGCTTAGAAAGTTAAGATTACAAGGCTCGGTGTCATAAAATAGCAAGAGGCCGGAAATATCTTCGAATTTTGTTCATAAAGTAAGGGTCACACTAACCTTTTTTGGAAGTTAACGCTCCCATGATTCTGAGGTTAAGTTCGTTCTTAACACTCTAAACAATTACCTGCTGAAAAATAAAGTAACAACAATCAAAACTACTTTTAGGAATAAATGCGTTTCCATTTGAATTGTCTGAAAGACGTGCTTTGATAACGGCGTCATACGTCGAACAACTTCAGAAAAACCTTTGGAATTTCATATTCACTGTAAACGCTCTGGTGTTAAAATCAACAGTTTTTGGTGTTGTCAGATGACCACACCCTAAGGTGTTACTTTAACACCACTGGTGTCACTTAGTACACCTATACGTGGTACAATGCACTGGAGGGTATTGCATGTAGCACCAAGTAGCGCCAAATTTTTTAAAACAAGTGAACAGTGTTGGTGTAGTCCTCTGATAACACCGGATGTGTTAAATTTAACACTCCAGTTTTTGCAGTGTTTGGGACTTTCACTTATAAGGAGTAAATTTACCACTTTTCTCCATTAATAGGCTCAACCTCAAGTTTCTGGAGAAATGCTGAGGCTGGAATAGATGCATGATAGAAACTGGAGATCTTAATTAAACCAGCCTTGACTGACCAAATTGAAGTTGTGATCTGTCATTATCCAAACAGAGCTTTCATTCCTTATTTAAATGTCTTACATAATCTTACATTACACTGCACAAAAAATATTCAGTCGAACATAACTGTTACAGAGAGTTTTCATGTCCCGCAGAAATAACATGACAACGTGCTGCTTCTGGCCCCTTATAGCTCCATCACTGATTTTCCTGATCAAGATCTTATTCAGTTCTCTTACCACTAGCGTCAAAATAACCTGAAAAGGAACAATTAGTAACAGCAAAACTACATTTGAGTTTAGAGCATTATGGAAGGAGTATATCCAGTTATATGACATTGGCTATATCCGACAGTGTAAACCTTAATCACAGATTCCTCCCACGTGCAGGTAGTTCATAGAAAGGTCCATGTACTTATCGCAGACATGCAACTTTCAGGTGACATGGCATCCAAGTTAATACACTGTGCATGTAGTTTCAGATGACCCCTGACAACTCTATGCGTCTACACAAACGACGCTATAATAACTCTACATGTCTTTACAAACAACGCTCTGACTCTACACGCGAAACAACACTAAATGTGTACCATGTAGAGCAAAGACTGCCTGCATTCAGGATTTGTGGCAATACATGTGTACCAGTCCCATGTGACCAGGCCGGTAATGTCTGTGCCATGTACACGTATGAGCTATAAATGCATGCTCAAAACGACGTCAACCAGAGTGGACTGGTCACGTGGGACCAGTATGTTGCAGTTACTAAGCATCTCAAAATTCTCATCGTATACAGCAAGCCAGCATGTCATGTGGAGCTGAATGATAGTGAACCAAGACAGCGATATAGTCACAGGGTTTCAAATGTATAACCGCTGATGTCAAGTGACTTTATTTCCCTCTTCCAACTGCATTCACTGGTAAATCGTGATAAATGACTTTGCACAATGATGTCAAACATAAAAAAATTACTTAGAACATTAACAGAACATTTATGCAAAAACTATTTTATTTATTACGTTAACCTAATGTGTGCGTACGTAGCAATAAGCAAGAAAAAAATCGACTCAGTGTTGGAATGATATCAAAGGTTTGGAAAGTGCGACATAAACGCCCAAGATATTATCGTCAGTATTAAGCGGGCGAGCAAGGGATCGGACGCCGCATGCGCTTTTTGTACGACTAGGTGCAAATAAACCATCTTATTTTCCCTGGACTTATTTTGTAACATCTGTAATAAAAAATCCCTAATTTCCAGAAGAGGACTGGATTCATGTTGAAATACCACACAAACAGTAAGGGACGGCGACCATTTAGACCCGGTTTGAAAAGGGCCCCCCGGTAGCCCACCCGGTATAATGCCTGCCCGGTTTTCAGCCTAATACAGGCCGATGTAAGGCCTGTCTGCACATTGGCATTTCAAAGTCCCTGATGAAAGGCTTCCCCCAACATGCTTGCACGGATGAATAGGGGTCTAAGCGGATTAGTGTAAACATTGTATAGAGCTGAAGGATTAAAAACCACAAGTGGGTTCCTTCTGGGATAGATTACATGTACCAATACTTGCAAACAATAGACCCCAGGATGAAGAAGTTCGAGATCAACAACCAGTCCAGCATCCCAGGCCGGTAGCCAGGCCGGTATGAAAGGGATTTTTGCAACCGGGCGAGCTTACCGGGGGGCCCTTTTCAAACCGGGTCTAAATGGTCGGCGGCCCTAACGCGTTGCCAGATTCACGGCAGACCTGGCAACTTTCGATTCAGAATTGTTCACCCAAAATTTGGCCTTGAAGGACCCTGCATTGATAATTAAATTGCACTGCCCCTTAGCCTACACTGGTTTTGTTGCCACATTTGGAATTACTCAGTAAATCATTCACAATAATTAGGCCAGGGAAAATCCCTGAACTACATGTATAGAAATCTTGGCACCTGTTCAATTATAGAACTATTCCACAAAGATTTTTATTTATGATGTTTAATTCATAAAAGATATCAGTTGGAGTAAAGAAAGGATTTTCCACTTAGATATGTTAAACAAGTCTCCAGCTTTCAAGGGTGAAATCTCGGCTTTGATCATTGCTCAGCCGGCTATTTCCGGCTATTCCCCTCACACATCAATAAAACAAGATGAGTAGTGCGGGATTGAGCATGTTGATCAATATTCTGACGGTGGTGTTGGTTCTCTAGTTCTCTGGGCGCTGAAGGTGAGCCAACGATGGAACCCTTGCAGCCGGTCAGACGGCCTTTTTGCTACACACTTGAAGAGTTTTGAAAGGTATTCATTCGTTCTCCCTCCTGGTACGGTTAAGCCTTCCCTGACACCAGAATTTCAGGCCTACATTCGTAACGACTCTTTCATTTTGCAGTAGGGTGAAGACTGTCTAGAATTGATGTATTTTGTCGTTTTCCCTAATGTGATTCACTGCTTCCCTGCAGTAGGCTTCATCAATGCTCAACACGCCCTACACTTCCTGATACATACGTCAGCACAAACACGGCAACACTTCCTGTTCAGATCAGCCTGAGCAACGGTTAAAATTGTACGGAACGAAAAGGGAAAATCCAGGACAACTAACCTTCGCAAGAGCAATCATTGGTACATTGATAAAATGCAGTTGACAGAACCGTCAGGCCTTTGGTTTGTAAAGAATTGTTAAGCTCCGCTGCTCGCTTAAAGCCCAACCTTTCAGGGGCACTGGGGTCATCTCATTTCTATGGAGGGACTTCCCCCCAAAATATAAGGGACACACCACTTTGCACTTGAAATGCGACGTAGTCAATGCCGGTGTTATTTGATGACGAGGTGGCAGTCCATGTCTAGATGTGTGACGATTGTATGTTGCGAGTTAAATCGTCGTTGTCCAACTGTACCTTACCCAGGCTTTTTGAAGAAAGAATCAATCCCCCCCCCAAAAAAAACACGAGTTGTAAACTCGGTTTTTAAACTTGACTCGGACTCCAGTAGGAATCTTTTGTTTGTAATTTGTGACTTGACTTAGACTTTCACTTTAGGACTTGTTACCAACGCAAGTCAGAAACTACCCAATCGGATCCGTCCTTTGCGGCATCAAAACCTTTCACCAGCTTGCTTTTAAGTTATAATTCCAACTTTCATAAAAAAATCCCAACATCAATGTTTCCTTGATTACAATCATATATCCATATCTGCCTTCAATGTTTCCTTGATTACAATCATATATCCATATCTGCCTTGAACAGAAGCACCATCTCATCGGTAAGAGACACAACATGCTGGTATAGGGAGTGTTAATTATAATTGTTGGCAGCGACGTGTCCGCACTACATGAATCTCATATTGGACGTTCACATGATTTTAGATTGTGTGGACGAGACCGCCGTTCACGTGCACAGCCGGCGTTCACTCAAGCAGTCAACAACCGGTACCCCTGTTCACTTCCTGTTGAATCTGTTTCGATTTCAGTTAACACGTGTTCAAGGCGTAGTAACGTCATATGACGTCTTTGTAATGCATATTCACACTGCGCGCCATCTTGAACGATCAATCATTCTGCTAGCTGGCATGGCAAACCTCCATCGACTCCGTGAAGCACTTCTTTTTTATTATTATTTTGCCAATGAGTTGTATTATGAGGAATTTATGTTGCCGTATTTATTTATTAATTTCAAGCAACATTTAGGGTTGTGAAAAAGACATCAACGTCCAATATATAAAATTCACTCCCTGGGTAAGAATAAAAACAATAAGAAAACAAATCCAAAAAAATTTCTGGGATGCAAATGTAAAGGTTAAAAGAGCGTGAACAATAGCATTAAATGGACAAACAAACAGGAATAATTAAGATTTGACATGCAATACTCAAAGAAGTGAGCAATTAAAACACCTGATTTAAATTTAATCAAGTAAAACCACGCTCCTTCTTATAACAGGAAAAAATACGTTAAGGAGAATATTGTTTAATGCGCTGCATTATTATGCAGCATTGATGCACTTCTCTAATCTAACAAGAAGTGCAGTATAAAAATATAAAAATCGCACAAGACAGGATAAAATATAAGTGCAAAGATACACCGACTACAAAATGATGGTAATCGTCCCGTGAATGTTGACTTAAGGATTACCAGAAAACAGGACGTCTTCTGTGAACGGCGTGCTCGATTGAGGTGAACGGCAAAAATGCTGCGGACGAGTCCTAGATTCTGGAAGTGGCCGGGCCAGAGAACTTGGCGCATGCTCAGATTGTCAAAGTGACGTCATGGTGGCGTAGTCAACTATGAACGCGAAACTGTAAACCCCCGTATCCAAATTTCGTCAGCGGGTCCTCGTACAAGTTCGACAGTGAGTGGCAGGTTCCTTTATGCGTAGCACCAGAGCGATCCCTATCAAAAGCGCCCCTTTAAAGAAAGGAAATGACCCCAGTGCCCCGGTAAGTTGCTGGTTCCAAGGAAGCAGGAATAATTCTCAACAAACGGAAGGCCTATCGATAGCACCTGTTTAGCATAACAATTATCAGTTTTTATTTAAACCGTGGCTGATCCAAGAAGGAAGCAGTTGCCCACGTAGTATAAATGTGTCTGTTCATGTGTCGCTTCTACATACAGCGTTTTGAGCAGCAAGGGAACTTATCTGTCTATGCCATCAGTCGAGTCATATTTACCTGACGGAAATGGCAAACAACGCACCACCTCGATCCTTCATCTTTTAATAAGATGAAAAAGTGTTCACAATTGTAGGCCTGACATTCTAGTGCCAGAATGTTTCACCCGTGCCAGAGACGAAAGTAAATTAGTTGACTTGCAACATTGTGTGGGTGTTGGCACTTGGCCTTTCTTTTACCGGCTGGGAAGCTCAATCAAACGCTCACTTCCTGCATGTAGGGAACCAGCGGTCCACCAGCACCCAAGTATTGAACAACCTGTCAACGTCCGATCCTGCATTGTTCCATTTGTATTGTTGCTGTGCAAGAGGGACTCTCGGTTTTGATTTCTGAAAGAGGTCAAGTTTGACACCAACAGGTGAGTAATGATCAAAGTTGAAGATGGATCTTTCGAAAACTGCGGAATTGTTTCGAGTTAAGGCATATACAAGTTTAACCACGAACAGAGTCCCTGTGTCAAGTGTGTTCAATGAAAATCTTTGATGGATAGTTCTAATTTAAAAACAGTCCCAAGATAAGGAAACAGAAATAAAAATGTGCTGTGTATAAGTCGAGCGACATCAGCATAAAAACCACTTCAATTTCTCTGGAGATATGCCAAATTATTTACAAACCCAGCGTCGGCCTTGAACATGGTTTTAATTTGAATGTCATTGCAAGGCTACACTTTGGTTCAACGATATTGAATGGAATGGCAGGTGTGCCATAAATCTGACAATTTATCATCGTGGGCCATTTTGACCTAAACCCTGTTGGGGTACGGAATACGGGCGATTCACAATACCACCCAGTGCGCGTTTGGAAAGGGTCGCACTAAGATTGGTCAACGCGTTGCAAACTCTTGGAGGCGCACTATCATCGCCCGTATTTTGGGGGGTTTCAGTTGTAATTACGGAAGTTATTAACAAAAAATATCAGCGACATGTTTGACCATGCAATGTAATCCCAAACGCACCCCTTTGATGCCCGCTATGTTTAGTCACTCATTGATTCGTATAACACTTGTGACGGAATAACACTCATGCAATTTCCGATCGATTAACAGCCTAAGAAACTTTGTGTGTTTTTGTGTAAAAAACGATTTCATGCAATAATCAACCATAGAAATATGGAAGGGCTGCGTAGCACCGTGATCAGAATAACGACAAGAATATATTATCAAATCAGTGCTCTGGAATATGTGATTGCCGAGCTTTTGGTAACTGAGTACTTTCTTCAGGGCAAGCACTGCGACGAATGACGAACGCCTTGACCAAGGCTACCCCAACTTAAGAGAGACTTAACACTATTTTGCCAGTGCTTGCCCGCATGAGCGCAATGTGTCTCACAACGCAGGAAGAACCTGCGAAAAACAAAGTGTGCTAACTTAACATGAAAAACCAAAATGTGTGGAAATGCAACTTATGATGCATGCTCCCTAGTCACAGCATCTGCTGCTGATCTAAATGATCATCAAATAACCCAGTGACTGTGTGTCAGAGTCGTGGACCGGACTGGTCAACCGGCCTGTGATTTTCAGTGGAATAAAGGAGGCGTTAAGTTTCCTAGAAAATTGCTGAAAAACACGCACGCTTATGTCCAACAAAACCAGTTTTCTCAGTTAAGGAGAATAAAGTTAGGTATCCTCCCCAATGGAAATGTCTATCTTCTACTCGTTCTTTAAAGTTGAAGTTTTTATGGCCAAGCTTACAAAATCAAGTCATCCTCTTGCTGATCTCTCTCCTCCCGAACATCTTCCAAGTAAACTTCAAGGCGTACTGGTCGACTCTGTTTGGTCCGGGAGGAGACATCTCCTATAAAAACAATTACTCTTCCAACGACCAAACAGGGGTGGACTCAGTCTCACGAGCGCGAGCGTGTCAACCACGCATGCTCACGTGCAGAGTTTCATATTGTCCAGCTTTATCCTCATCTCTGCCTATTTTCGGCCTTTTCGCTCCCACGTTACAAAAAGTTCAATGTCGACAACCATCCTTCTACATCGACCTCATCAGATAAATCTCAAAATTTTCGTCAGCATCCCTCTGTTTATTGTGAGCTTCTGCATGCTTGGTATCCGGGGCTCAAACAAAAATCAGCGATATTATCAATGTCCCCGGCCGTTAATAGCGTTCTCTTTGTTCACGATGAGAACTCCTGCTGGTGACTGTCTTGTAGGATCAGGTTAGCTCCTGGCACCCTCCACCAGACGCTGGCTGCGCTCTTCGTTTTTTCCCTTCAACAACCCCTCTTTTCACTATCGTCTCATCGATGTTCACCCTCCCCGGCTCCCAGCTCCACGTTTCCCTCCATTTTCGTCTGTCTTCGGGTTTTCGGCCTCTTTGCCATTCCAATTCCTCTTCGCACCGTCCCCTTGCTCCCAGATGTTTCGACAACTTTTTCACTGCTTACATCAATGGACTCTTTGTACCCTCTATATACATTATTTTCAATCCTCTCGTCGTCAACTCACTCCACGCCACTGCCCTAACCCACTGGCATTTGATCGGTTTCTTGACAAGATATCTAAACTTTCCATACCCCGAAAAAGAAGGGGACACTTAATTCAAATTAAACCGCGGGTAGCTACCCTACATGTAATGCGGAGGGGGATCAGTCCACTAAGCAATGAGACTTTGCCGACTATTTGTCTCATAATGCACGGCGAAAAGGCCTCTCCACGACAACCTCTTGGTGGCGCTCTGAATCGCCCGTACAGTCACTTCTAAAGTAAAAAGTATTATGTAACGAATATTGATAACGTTATGATAAAGTAAGAAAATATAGCATGCTGCATTAAAAATAAATTCACAAGTTCATTCAAAAGATGACACCGTTTATAAAAACAGACCCTAAATATACTTATAGGCCTACAAATGAAATTGAGATCAAAACCTTGTTTGTGGGAAAAATGCTGCTGTGGACAAAACTCCCCCCCCCCGAAAAAAAATTAATGACTTATTGATGTTGAAAAAACTGTCAAACCCATTAGAAATGCCCAGCACGTAATAGTAGTATAAGATTTATTTCATCTGGATGCCTGGATATTTAAATTCAGACCCTAAAATAGACGGCACATCAAATCAACACACAAATTACGGGTTTACGGGTCCTTGAAGGTAAAATCCTTTCTTTTTCTTGTATACTTTGCAGGAGACTTTTTGCTTTGATGTGGCTTGAGTCAGGTTTATCAACCATGGAAACATTCAATTCAACAGGTAAGCTCCAAAAGACGGAGTTATAATTTATTTTTAAGACAAATGTTTTAAATTAATGAATTAAAATTAAAATAAATTAAAAGATATCCAATTTTGAAACAGATTACGTCAGTCCTTATTAGTGGAATATTCTGGAAGCTTAATGGAAAATTATCAACTTGGGTTCCATTTTCGGTAATAATTCACAGGCAAAAAAATGGTCAGTCATTATGAAAATTTTAGATGTTGCGCATTAAGTCAAGTCTAGTAAAAATTGTGAATAACATCAAAAGGCGGAGACTTGTTTCAGGAGACTTTGGTAAACCTTCTAGATACGCTTCCATTCACAGGCATTAGCGAGTCCACTTTACGTACAATATCTGAAAAGCTCGGTCCTGAATGGGAGAAGCTGATGGAATATCTCGGTTTAAGCCCTGAAGAGATATTTTGGATCAAGAAAGACCAGCCAGATCAGACAAAGAGCCAGATCTTCCGCATGCTCGTCAAATGGAGGCGCAAACAATCCACTTGCATAGATCAGTTGGACGCCTTATACAGGGCACTAATGAAGATCTGCAGAGGAGACATAGTTGAAGAATTGAAAGGCAGGTCCATTGAATCAGGTTAAAAAGTTACTGACACAACTTGCCAACTAAGATCAGCTAGGATTCAATGCCAAATTGAAACCTTTGAAGTCGTTGACAAAAGGTTAATGGAGATTTTGTAGTAGAAAGATCCCTAAACGCTTCCAATACATTTGCGTTGCTTTTAACCAAGATTTTATCTACCACTGGGTTTATTACGTTTAATAAGAATTCCCCCACGTTTAGGACATCGTCCATCTCAATTTTCATTTGAACAGCAAATAAATGATAGGCCCCAACGGTCTCTAAAATTTTATTGGAATCTTGAAAACATGTTAGGTTTATAAATTTTCCTTCGATTCTCAAAAACATTTTGGTCTGCAAAGTTTCATTTGAAAAGATGGTAGGTCCGAAAGATTTATTTTTAGTCTGGAAAATGCATTGGGAATTTCAAAATGAGCTTTGTATCAAATAAGATTTTTTATTTAACACACGTTCGATTTAAAAAGCATTCGTTTTCTCTTCAAAACATTTCAGTTTTTTTCATTTTTTCTACTCTAATTCTGCTTCTTATTCAGCCCTTAGAATTGGCAACGAACTCGCAAAAAAATCCACCCTACTGGTGTTCTGTGGGCTCTCCCCCAGATTATTTATTGAGCTCTTGTTCTCAAGTTTTCAATTAATCATTCTTTATTGTCTGCACATAGTGGCCGGAGGAAGCATCGTGTCCTCTGTTTCAGCAGCCACGCACCTTGCAGACAGTCCTACTGAAGAAGAAATACAGCACGATAAGGCAACAGGGCCTGCATGTGAGTCAACATTATGTAGTTTTTCTTCTAACCTATGATTACCGTCTTCAGGCAAAATTGCTTCAATCACACTATATATAGCTAAAAAACGCCATTTGAGCTACAATTCAGACACCCCTTTTATTTTGTCGAAAAAATAGTTATGTTCGTAAAAGGCATTGACTATTGTTTCCACATGCAGTTGGATTATCAAAGTTTGTAAGTTTCTCTGTATGATTGCACACACTGTCTTATCTTCAGCCCTGGCACCGTTGTTGACTTCAGACACTCTCCCAACTCCTGCCAAAGCACCACTGGGGAATACAGACACTGCCCCATCCCCTGCCCCAGCTCTGTTGGTGACTTCAGACGATGGCACATCTTACGCTCCAGCAGCGGAAGATAGTGCAGACAGTATGAGCAAACAAGAACAAACACAGCACGCTGAACCACCGAGTACTCCACGTGAGTAAAATCAAAGGAATTGTTGTAAAATACAGTTATTCTTCAGCCTGACGATGGGGCGCTAAGCAGAGATATTCGCAAGCGCGAGAATCCACTAAAATATTAAGCTTGATGGTTCTGTGAGTTGGTAGAGCACTACCACTGTTTTCCAGTTGTCAGAGGGTACAAACAAGTTCCGTTCAGTTTGCTCTTTATCTTTATAAACATATCGCAAGATAAATAAATGCTCTTAACGGAGATTTGTAGGCTAAATAATCTCTCATTTTAATGAGTGGAGGAAAGTTCATACTTGATAATAAGTAAACAAACAGTAATAAAAAAACTAGAAAGCGTTGAAAATAAGGTAAAACTTACTGCAATGAAAGAAAGTAGAGAGTATGGGCGTATGGCCAACACGTTTTAGCATGAGTATTAACCTCGTACATTTTACTGAACTCGTATAGGGTAACCTGGAAATTTATTTTAATCATGGGACTTTATTCAAACCTTGTAATTTTCCAACAAACACAGATATTCTCACAATTTAATTGGGGTTCATATATAATAGGACTTTCCCCAATTTTATTTACTATCCCATTTTGTAATCTCGGGTTCCCACGCATTACTTGTTGGCTCCATGTCGAAAAAGAGGTTATTTGCTGTGTAGGACGCTGTAGCCAAATCTGATGACAAATACTAGCAGACTACAGATTAAACAATCAGTCTTTCACTTTAAAAGTCAGATGATCTGTACCTTAAGCACTGTTATGAAATTAAATGGAAATAATTCTTTTGAATGATAGAAACTCGTGGATTGATGAAGGCTTGTTTAATCTTCTTGATGCTTTTCCGTTGGCAGGCATCAGTGATTCTGTTTTACGCAGGGTTGCTGAGAAGCTTGGTGGTGAATGGAAGAAGCTCGCGACTTCTCTTGGCTTAAGCGCTGCAGTGGTCTTCTGCATCCAGATGGACCAGCCAGGCCAGACAGAAAATCAGATCTTCAACATGCTGGTCAAATGGAGGCGCAAACAACCCAGCAACGTAGATCAGACAGACGCGTTATGCAGAGCTCTGAGGCAGATCGGCAGAGAAGATATCGCTGAAGAAATGTCAGGTATCGAATCACATCAATCACTAGCAAACGATTAAACGTGGCGGTAAAACAATAAGGGTTGAAGGTACTAAATCGTCTCAGTGCAAAAATGATTAATAGGACCATCAGAGAAATAGGAAATTACGCGTCACAGTTCTAATTTCACCACCTTTCCTAATGATCACGTTTGCCAACTCAAACATGACAGTTACATACAACCATGCTACCATTGGACAACCTGGACGGCTCTCGAATGTGTATCCTGTTATTATTTTTAAAAGCTGTGTTCGTCTGACTGTGTTTGGATATTTTTCCATTAAAAAAGAAATACGGTATATGAGTGCAATTAACCCCATTTAATTCATGGACTCCCATTTAAAATATTGACATAGTTTTTCACCTGCACATCATGCGATGTCAAAACCTCATGTACCTGATAACCAACCGAAAATGGCAGATATACCCAGTGGCTGTACAAGGTTAAAAAGAGGTCGCACACGATCAGAGGGCGCCCTGCATATAAAGCAAATTAACTACTATTTTGTGTGTATGCCTCCGTTTCATACAGTCCCCCATACTCGCCGTTTTTCTTTCTTTTTTTAATCATAAAAGAATTCATGGGGTATTTTTCCTGCTTTGTCACAGAAATTGCCAGACCCAGGGGACCGTATTGCTTCGACTATCTCAAGCAACAGGTCATCCAGTACTACAAGCAAACAGCAACGACTATTCCAGCGCACCCTACCGTCGAGTCACGTCGTGTAGGTATTGAAGATTTCTCAATTCCTCTTTGCCTAATAAAAAAGGTCCCTGGGAAAACAAAACAAGGGGCATTGGTGTCATTACCAGAAGGAAGGAGATTTCTGGATGAAGCTGAGACGATTACCCTAGATTCCATGGAAGATTTATTCAATCCCCAAAGTGTAGGGGAGATAGATAAGATTCTTCTTTTCGGCGGGGCCGGAATGGGTAAATCTACCCTTTTAGTCCAAATTGCCCACTCGTGCATTAAACTTCGTCCAAAATCCCCTCTTGCAAGATTCCAACTTGTGCTTCTGATAAAGCTTAGGCAAATGCAGAAGTCCAGCTGCGTATTGGATGCGATTTTTGACCAGATCCTACCAAACAACACAAACCTTACAAAACACGCAGTGAAGGGGCTCATTGATGAAAAGGAATCGCACATTGCTTTCCTGCTGGATGGCTTAGATGAAATTCCATCTGATGTTTTGCATTCCAAGGAGGGTGTGTACAGGGTCGAAGATATCTTAAGCAACAGATGTCTTAAAACAAGCTTTGTGCTGGTAACAACACGACCACACCTGGTTGACTATGTACTCCAGGGTTACCCAAATTACGCCCAGGTTCAAACAACAGGCTTTACATCAGAAAACACGCACAGATATATCAGAACGCAGTTTTCTTATGATCAAGACGGAGAAGCATTAGTTCACCGCCTAGATCACAACAGCTCACTAGAAAAGTTGTCACATGTACCAATCATTGCTTTGATGCTGTGTGCTGTTTGGAAAAATCAAAAATCACTTCCAGCTCAAATAACTGAATTATACACAGACTTTATCGAGTCTCTTTTTCGCCGCCGCTCAGTTGATAGTCGGGTAATGGCGGTGGTCGTTAATAGCATGGGTGGTAATGCAATGCAAGGGCTGCTTAACCCTAAGGAGGAAAGACTCGTTTTTGATCGAAGAGAATTTCAAGAGTGTGGTGAGCCTTTGCTAAATCAGACCTTTGATGTGGGTCTTCTTCAAAGTGAAACAGTCACAAGTGGTCTGAAAACGAACGTGTTGATTTCCTTCCCACACAAGTCTTTCCAGGAATACGTCGCAGCATGTCACATGGTGAAGTTGCTTGAAGATGGCGCCGACCGTTTCCGTCATCAGTTGAAATACATTACAGCAGATAATGTCCTTGATAAGGAATACCTCCTTCGGTTTTGCTGCGGGAGATTAAAGCAGGCTGCTGGTCTCATCCTGGATCACATAAGAACGATGGAAGGAGACGAGATGCAACTGCAGAGACTGGCTCGGCTGTTATTGTTGGAGTCAGGTACAGCAGATTTTGCTGACAAACTAGTCAGACCAAGGAAGGTGTCATGCGAGAGAAGCGAAGATCTGAGGTCATTTAGCTATTACGTTAAGCATGTCCCTCAATCACTTGAAAGTGCACACGTTGAAATCAGTTGTAAATCAAAGGAAGACCTCTACCTTTTGGGAGAAATTCTTTTGAGGAGGAATGTTGAGTCGGGGAAGTCCATTTTGGTCTCTTATTACATGTCGCACAAGGGGGCAGAAGAACTGCAGCTATTGGAGAGAATACTTAAGAACGAACATGGTAAAATAAACCTGTATGTACACATTGAGCGAGAGTCGTGGTTTGACTGGATGTGTGTGTCTATGAGCTTTGCCCGCATACAGGAACACGTATCCAGTTTTGCCTTGCGTATGAACCATCGATCACGGGGAGACGTTCTCGGTCTACTTAGTGCACTGAAACGATGTAGTTTGATAGCTCTTGTGCTGGATAGCATCGACCTGCGTGGCTGGCTACAGGAGACAGATTTCCCTGCAACATCAGGCCTGAAATACCTGCAATTCCGTGCTTGCCGATTGCAAGACGATGACTTGAAAGATCTTATCGCAAGCCTTGATGCTGAGCAGGGTTTGATCAGCCTTAACATTGGTCGAAACCAATTCAGTTTGAACGGAGTGAGGGCACTCACCGGGCATCTCAAAGGTCTCAGTACTATAGATCAGTTGTGGCTGCATGAGATCGGCCTCGATGCGAAAAGTGTTAGGGAGGTAGTAAGTCGAGACATGCCCCACCTGCAGGAGAACGGAGAGGGAAGGTTCGAGAGAAAGGAGAACCAGGAAGAAAAGGAGAAGAAAGGACTAAAAAAAGAGAGGGTAGAAACACCTTTTGTAATTATCAGTGCAGAAAAACTGATAACGGATGACGAAAGAGAAAGTGAATACAGATACATACACAGATCAAGACAGCGCTATAGCATAGATGAACTTTAGATGGAGTAGACATGAATTCTGTATTCTTCTCCTCTAAGTCTAACGGAGACATATACAGGTTCGAGAGAAAGAAATCGGGAACAATCAGTGACTGAAGTAGCCTCAAGAGCAAGTGAAATAGAAAGAGAAGAAATAAGAGCCATGAAAGAATCAAAGGAAGAAATAAGCGGGGAAGAAGAAACTTTTAATGAAATATCGTGGAAACTGTCAAATGTAATATTTGTTACTGTTTATATCATTTTTCTAGATTCAGAACGTATGTAATAAAAAAACTGGAGCTGGCTACAGTAACAGTTAAATACAAATCTAAGAAGTAGGAGGCCTCTAACGTTTCTATCCTAGCGGAATCCTTCTCAAAGGTAAAATGACAACTGGACAGAGATAAATTAGTAAGCAAAGAATCAAACAAGCATGGACGAATGCAGAAAGACAAAAGGAAGGGGTGAGAAACCTGGTTGCTGGATAAAGAAGCGGGAGATAAAGGGGGTTTAGATTCAGTCCCTTTGCTGGTGTTTAATGACTTTCACTTGTGGCGTTCATCATTCAACTTCAAGCAAATGTGCATGGGGGCCTGGCCAAATAGAAGCCACGTCTATTTGCCGGCCTCCATAGGTCATCACTTGTAATCCGATTTCTTAATTATCTCACAGTCTCAAATGTTTTAACTATTTACCCGGGCCAAAACATAGGTTGAGAATCAACCCAACCTGGTAATGCAGTATTTGGGTATTGCCCAGTAATACTATACTGTTGATGAATTGTTTTTCATTTGTCACTGTTCATAAATAATAAACAAAAGAATCTTAGGAATGAGTAATAACATAACTATGGTAGCGTTGTATTTAGCTTTTGAGGCCGATTATCAGATAATCGAAAGTTGTGTTCTAGCTATAAAGCTACATCTATAAATGATGCCTGTTGCGCGCATCTATGCTTGTGCACAAACTTGAACTTTTACAGGTTTTTTTTTACGGGTATCAGCGTATCTGCGTTGCCTGAGCAGTGTGTACTTGGAGGGGAGACCGGCTTGTTCAAGGACTTGAGTGTTGGTCACTTTGTCCCTCCATGTGATGCCCAGGATGCAACGAAATCAGCCTAAGTGGAAGCTGTTCGGCTTTCTCTCTTGTTTGGCATAGGATAACCACGTTTCACTGCCGTGTGCTGATGATGCACGCTTGGTACACTGCCATTTTGGTAGCTGCTGTCAGCTTTGAGTTCTCCCATACACGGGGCGTGAGACGGCCCAGCGTTGTTGCAGCTTTCCCAATGCGCTGGCTGATCTCAATGTCGAGGAACAGGTTGTCACTGATGGTGGAGCCGAGGTATGTGAACTGGTGGACAACATCCAGCTCGTAGTTGTCGATGGTGATGGCTGGCGGGCTGTCCACATCTTGGCCCATCACGTTGGTCTTTTTCAGGCTGATGGTGAGTCCAAAGTCCTTGCAAGCCTGCGAGAACCTGTCCATGAGATGCTGGAGTTGCTGTTCGGTGTGTGATGTGAACGCAGCATCGTCAGCGAAGAGCATGTCTCTGATGAGGGTCATTCGCAATTAGGTTTTTGCTTTTAGCCTAGAGAGGCTGAAGAGGCGACCATCGCTTCTGGTGTGGAGATACACATCCTCGCTGAATGCTCCAAAAGCATGCCTCAGCAAGAGGGAGAATAAGAAGTCAAAGAGGGTGGGCGCCAGGACACAGCCTTGTTTTACTCCGCTCCTGACATCAAAGGAGTCTGACAGGCTGCCCTCGTACTGGATGGTTGCCTTCATATTGTCGTGGAACAACAACAACAAGAAGTTAGCAATCTTGTAATTTGGTTATTGCTTACATCTTAACGGTCAGGCATATTAATTCCTGTAGAATCTTTCCCATCGTGCCTGTCTTTCGAGTGGCAAAGACTTCTACCCTCTTCCCCTAAATCCAATTAGCAACAAAATGCTCTGTTTGGTACACATAACATAACCATACTTCTCTTATACTTGCATTCTTTGGAGAGTCTATGCTATTGTATATTATACGTCATAGAACATAAATCTGATGGAATTAATTGGTGGCTTGTTTATTGTTGAGGAGGTGCTAGTAAAATGAAAATATACCCACACTAACAGTGATTCTAATTTCATAATTACTTTATACCAACGCACCAACCCAGATATTCTCAACTTGATATCTACGAGAATATGCACGATGATATTAATTGTAGGTGGGAGTACATTTGAAGGGTTTTAAATCCTCAATGTTATTGTACGACATCTCTGTGGGTGTCCACTTAATTTAGGAACATAAAGTGTACGATTAGTTTTACAAGCCATTTCTGTAAACCATTTAAAGTGTAACATGTTAGAACTGTATAGTAAACAGAATTACTGACTTCCTCTTTAGAAACCAGTTATCGGAGCCCTTTCTCCTTGTTTTCTTTCTGCTCTAGGGGGAGAGTACAGAGTATCTAAAGTGTGGGAAAATTCAATATATATATCAAAACCACATTGATGGTGCAATCCGCTCAACAGTTACATTAGACCCTAGTCTAATGTTCAAGTGAAATTGTCGCATCTGTTTTGTGTTTCGTTTTGCGATGGTTTTAACTATAGTTTTAAACATTTTTGAAGCAGTCAGCTGTGCTGCCTCATTTACATATCACTCAAATTAAGGAAAAACATCGTTTATTATTTTCCTTAAAGGTCGGGTGACAGTTTGTGAAAAGCCAAACAAACTAAAAATTGTGAAGACAGATCAAGTATTTGTGCTTCAAAGTTTAACGCAATTTCGCTGCAAATGGTTCGTAATGGATAATTTGCTCCTCTTTGTGTAAGGTGTCTCCTGTTTGTACTGCCATGTAGTTATATGAGCCACAATTTAGACTTTATCAATGCAAATAAAGTATGAATTTTAAAACTATATTTACTCACTTTGTAAAGTGTACACAATACTGTAGATTATTTGCTACTGCTATCCTGTGAGCATCGACTGCGTTGCATTGTGTACACTCCTGTTGTATCTGTGGTAATAAATATCGTACGGTTTCTACATTGTTTGTTTTTGCAAAGTAGATATTTTCTAAATAGTCCTGAGGTCTGATATTTCATTTCCGGTGTAATGTAATTTTGTGGATATGTTCCAAGTAGACAAAATATCCAATTCTTATTATTATCCCCTCTTTATTTTTGCACGAAACAGTTTGTAGACGAATCCAGTAACTTGGGAAATGTCATCAGTGCTCATTTGCAGTGGCTCGCTGCTCCGCAAAAGTTGCACCATAAAACCCAACACCATCAAAACCAACAAATTTTTCCATCCTCAAAGGGTGCTATCAAATATGCCAATTGGAACTACGCTGCAATCATATCGAGTGTAAACAATGAGAACTTGTAGCACTACTAAGATTAACACTTTAATTTATAATCACTTCTCACATAAAGTATCAAAGCAGATTTAGACTTAGTGGAAAAGTAGAGGTTAATAAAATCTCATTTTTTGGCACAAGTCAGAACTGAGACAATGTGGCTTATTGTCTTTAACTGTGTTACTTTTTAGTGGAAAAAAACTGAGAAATTTATTGAAGTGGGATTTCAATCACCGTCTTCCTGTGCTGGCACTCTACCAATGAGGTTCAAAGCGGTATGCGGTTCTAGTTTGTCAATATTTTTTTCAAACGAAAATGGCAAATCCCAAAAAAGGATTTTTTTTCGATCGAGGTTTCCCCTTCCACTTTATTACATTTTTTTAATTCCAAGCACTTTTAATGTAACAGAAACTGTTCAAAATTTTGAGTTACTAACATGTTAATAAAACATAAAAACATACAATAAGTGCACTAGTGACACAGAGCAAGCTATTTCAAAGATGAATTCCGCATTTACACTGCCCTCAGAGTACTCTATTGCAATTCGCATACACAACAAATTGACACCCTCAGTGACTTGCTGGCTTCTAGAAGGGTTGTCCACACCGGTTGAATAATTTATCGCGGCCCCGTCGACAGCTTCGGGCTTAGAAAGGGCTGCATAGCCTATTAGGGGACACATCACCAGAATAATTGATAATGTTGATGCGTATGTCTTTTGCCAATGAGGGCCAGCTGGCCCAGGCGGCACTCCCGGGAGCCCTGCCCTCTTTTGAAACAGGCCTGATTATCCCCATTTCATTCACACATCTTCTGAGCAATGACTACCTTGGTATACGGCCCTTGTGATGTGTAATAATGCTGCACAAGTTGCATTTATAGCATACATGGATCTGCCTCTGTAGGTAAACACTTCTTTAACTTGCTTGGATTTCTAGGTGAATGTTTCTTATCTTGCTTTGCCATAATTATGTCCACCAAAGAGTTGTACCATCAAGAACTGCTACGATATACTTGAGCTTGAGCCCTTTGGAGATGATTGGGAACGTGGCTTTAATATCTTCGTACTCATACCAAGTTTTCTGTGCATAGACTCTTTCCTTTAGTATTGGGAACATTCGTCTCAGTTAAACAGTTTATTCACGCCCTTTTCAGGTGGTCATATTTATTATCTGATCCATGGGCGTCGCAAAGGGAGGCAAGATGGGGCAATTGCCCTCCCCCTCCTTTAAAAATTGGGTAACATCAAAACAAGGTGGAAAAAAGAAGAAGTAAAAAGACATTAGAGAGGAAATGACATAAATGTCACGGATTTGCTTTAAAGATATGGCCCGTCCACCCTTTCATGGGTTTATCATAAATTATTAATTCTTATCTGTCCCTAGATTTGTTTTATTTTTTCCCATAGCAGGTCGAAAAATTGTTTACTACCTTGGAAAAGAAAACCTGCTGACGCCCCTGATCTACGGAAGCGTATAAGGGCCACTTGTAAAAAGTTTTTGTTTGGAGATACTATCTCGCCACGGCGAGTTACTATCACGCTGCGACGACTTGCTATCTCGCCGAGGCGAGTTGCTATCTCGCTGTGGCAGTTAGCTAAAACAAGCTCAACTCCCTGCATATTAAGACTCAGTCTAGATACCAGACCCAATGATTCTGACTACTCTTCTAATCAAGGGTCCTGTATCACCCAGTGTCGACATGACCAACACTACCCCAGATTTCCGAGAATAGTCGAACTATTCCGAACATAACCTGTCCATATTAAATTCAGTTTAATGGCAACACTTTTTCTTTAATGCTCCTTTAATGGTAAAAATTGTTACAAAGATTAAAATGAATAAAATTGGTAGCCAGATGAGTGAAGGGAGACGAAAAGGACCATTCGGAGGGTATCGGTAATATTCGGGTATTTCCGACTGCGTCTGTACTAAGAATTTTGTGAACTGTCCGGTTTATGTCGGTCGGAGTACTCCCCAATTACGAAGCAGAACTAGGGTCGAAAAGACTGGAACATTTTTGATAAATGGAAAGCAATTTTTTTAGTTGAAGATGTTTCAAAGCGAATGTCACTTTTTAAAATTCGTAATTTAGAAGTTTGGAATAGATTTTTCAAAAGCGGAACGAAATTTTAAAGATTTAATACATTTTTTCTAGATTCGAATGAAGTTTCAAAGAGTAGATGAACTTTCATTGACGCAGCGTACTTTTTAGATTCCAAGGAATTTTAAAAGAACGTGAACTTACAAATTCAAAAAAGAAATGGAACGAATTTTTAAAGTCTCAACTTTTTTTTAGATTGAAATAAAATATTTTGTACAGAATAGACTGAACATGTTTTGGAAATGGAAACAATTTTTCAGCGTAAAGCAGCTATTCGGTGCACGTATTTTACACATGCCATCTTAATGAAAGAGCATCCAAATTAACATAAATTCACATTTATTTGCAACCGGTTTTAGAAAAATATATACTAAACGTCTAAAATACGAGCTTTTTAAAAAAAATTATATTCGCTTAAAACACATTAGATTTAAAACTAAAAAGCAGCCAATTTAACCGAAACATGTATTTTACCCTAATTCTACTTTGCAGTGGATGGCGTACTCCAACCATCATATCACGGACAGTTCACAAAATTCTTGGTACAGACGCGGCCGGAACGATACCATGTGAATGGTCTTTTTCCTCTCCCATTCGATTTGAATACCAATTTTAATCTTTGTAACACTTTTTGTAATAGTTTTGAGGAGCATGAAAGAAAAGGTGTTGACATTAAACTGAATTTAATATGGACAAGGATAAGTTCGGAATGGTTCGACTATTCCCCGACATCTGGGGGAGTGTTGGTCATGTCGACACTGGGTGATACAGGACCCTTGATTAGAAGAGTAGTCAGAATCATTGGGTCTGGTGTCAAGACTGAATATTCATATATGCGAGATAGTACGGTAAGTCGCCGCGGCGAGATAAATAACTCGCCGCGGCGAGATAGTATATCGCACAAGTTTTTTTGCAAGTGGCCCTTATTTACTTCCGTAATGATCTGATCATAAATAAATTGGTTTATATTTTCAGGTACACCGCCCACACATCTTTTAAAAGTCTGTACAAGTTGGTCCGGTTTAGGGTTCACGAAACCCCGACTCCGCCGGGCACAACAGAAAGATACGAGTCCTGCCCATGAGAACCTATGTAACTCTGCCATTTCTCCAATATATCCCCTCCTCTTTACTGACCCTCGTTCCCTCATCACACTGAGCTGAGCAAACAACTTGTTTTTCCACATTTTCAAAAGGCATGACTCCTGCAGTGAACAAAAGCCGAACTCCTTACTCTGAAATATTGCTTTCGGTAACTTCGTTTTTTGTTTCGTGTGAATTCCAGCAGAATATAATAAACGCACTTTCCCTCCACATTTGTCAACAATACAATGTCCCTGAGCCATTTCTCTGACTGGGAAGGATCCAGCTTATACTTTAGAGGTTGAGCCAGTGTCAGGGAAATGTTATCAGGTACTATCCGCGTGTCCACAAAGCAAGCAACAAAACCTCTAACCCACCTGCAAATCCCTCCAACTCACTCGAGGGTGATTAAAACAAGCACAAAAATGACCTAAACGAATACAGATACGAAGACAACGGAAAAGAAAAACGTTGTCATCTGCATCGTTTTTCCATCAAGGTTTGTGTAAAACACGCAATGCAAATGAAAATGTTAAAGGCTTTACATTCCACTTTTAAGACACGGTTGAGGGCAAAACTGACCTGCATGAGAAAAATATGTATTTTTCTACTTAGATGAAAGGAACTACTTTTAACCAAGCTATATTGGGTCAGACATACATTTTATAAGATTGTTTATCCTTTGGAAGCAGCATCACTTCAATATTCACTCAGGTGCCTTGTATATTTTTGTTATGATGCCCGCTCTCAGGCGATACGTGCCATGAAAGCAATGTAAGTTAAAACCTGAAAATGGATCACTGGCCCTAGGCCTAAAACCAATTAAATCACTTTGCGTTTGACAGGTATAATCAGCCCCAGCTGCAAATTGTTTTCGGCATTACTTTAATGAGTCAGGAGCTCTGTCTCATTTCTATAGCACTATTAGGCGACATGCACTGTCGAACACCATCTCGAGTGATTTGAGACGATCGTGTTACAAACAATAATTTTTACTTTACTGCACGGTACGGCTTGTGCAGTGAACGAAAGTAGGTTCTGATAGCGGTTTGCAACTTCATGTATCTCTCAGATTCAAGGAACACGTTCTTTTAATGTTTTTAGCTAATAATGATTACCCATTGACATCAAAACCAAGTTGCAACAATGTAGAATCTGAAGACAAAGGGTTTAGGGTATTTTTAATGTCCCAACATTGTTCAAAGCAGACTAAATTGAATACTTACAACGCCAAACATGGTACGATATTGACTTCGATTCTGCCAGATGTAAAGGAAGAACCACTGATTCACTGTGGTCAAAATGTGACCATCATATACATTATTTAAATATTACAACTAGTTCTTTTGGTGCAAAACTACAATTCTCACCAATTTTTTTTTTGCTGTCGAGAGCTACAGTATGGAATTTTTCTCAGATGCGCTGCTAATTCCCTTTCCCTGGTACCCTGAAACTCAAAGTTGCTCCCTCGAGTCCCTAGTTGGCTGCATGACCTCTGTCCACAACAGAAACACGATGGCATCAACACTGTGTTGTGTATATATCGGTCCAACGGACAATGTTGCAAGCCAAGAAGTCTATGTGCGCCTGTCTCACCCATGAGGGTAGCTTATCAAATGGATAATTGAAAAGAATATGTGCGTCCTTTCTAGTTTCGGTCTGAGGGAGCTTTTGTAATCATACGTGAAGGGCTTTCGGTATCATTCAGGGTTAGGTGTTTGTGGTTGTTTTGATTCTTTTGTCTCAGACGTTAAGCTACAAATGTACTTCCAAAGCAGCACAATGAAGTTAGAGAGTGGACCTGAGTGGTGTATTGGCTACCATAAAACAGTCGTATCGAACTGTAAAATAGTTTCGGACATGACTGGGAACTCCGGGAAATGATGTGGTGATGAGTTTTCTGCATGGAGAAAAGGTTAACAAGCAGTTTCTTCTATTTCAAAGGATGGATTTGCGCAAGGGAGATGTAAATTAATTTTGGATTTTTGCCCTGCCCGACATGCATTTTAACACTGTATGCTCAGTGTATGCCTCCGAGGGCTTGTGAAAAAAGTCAAATGTTCGGGGGTTGATTCAATAGCCCTTCCCTTTATCAAAGAGGCGCCAGATTTGTTGCCTCCATCCCCCGCGTTTATCAAGTAATTTTGGAAAAGGAAGTATATTTTTCACATTTCGTTTGCATGGAGTAGATCTTTGTCACCCTAGGTTTTAGAAACAAAGTTTCTGTTTTGAAACAAATCGTTTTATAATATAACCTGACAGGTTATATGAATCGACACAAGAGGATGACTTGGGGCAAAGTTGTACTGTAGTTGATGTGGTTTATTCGGCTGGCTTGATGTTCGGCTCTCTCTGCCTGATTGTCAGATCTAATAGTTGGATTTTATACATTTACTGGAAATTCCATTTTTCATCCATCATACAAGTTTCCTTGCCTTATTAGGTACTGGCTACTAGTCCTTTGAATATTAATACAGCGTGAATGAATATGTTTGGTTCATTTGGATTTGAGAGTAGGGCTAGTCGAATTAATGAATACTGACTTTCCTTATAGGGCCAGTGGACTGCCTCAATGGCCCGGTCCAGCCCTGGTTTCCTCGTCAAGGGCCTTGTAGTTAAACTAGCCATTCCTTAAGTGAGTCTCACTACTTGGAAAGCGGTTCTACTCTTGAAGGTCAATCCGTGCAACTTAAGTAGCAATAAAGCAGATGGTATTGTAACATGGTGATAATGTTGTCCAGGTTTGTTTTTATGAGGTATATTTTAGAACGGTTTTTATGCTGTATAAATCAAACAAATAGATATTATATTACAAATAGATATCTCTTTAAAATTAATTTTTAACAGTCTCATTAAAACAGACTCGATCAAAATACTTTTCCTGTAAACTGTTTCTTCCAAAAATCAAAAGAGAGGTTAAGAGGTTGGTTCTTTATTTCCTTTGATTTTTCTTTTTTCTTTCGTGTTCAATTTCGCCTTCCCTCCACAACAGCCGTGACCACATATCTAACAGCTGTACTCTCTCCAAATCTAACCCAACAAAAGACACAGTTAATTCGCTTTAAGACGTCCCGTTCAAGAAATACAAAAGACTGAAACGAGTCAGAGAGCGACTTATGTTACTTCACATTGATATTGAAATGACCGCACTGTGACCTCTTCCTCCCTCGTTCCGTTGGGAGAGTCGCAACTTTGGAAGGACGTTGAACCTTCAAAGCATCCCGGAGACACTGTTGGAAAGACAGGACACTCTAAATAAAGCCCAACATTCAAAAATTAATAAAATAAAATAAAAGTGCAATTAAACACATTCTCAAAACGTAGCCTACATTATATACGTAAAGCTGAAGATGATTAAGACATAAATGCACAGTTCTTTTCATTCACAAATCTAAGCATGGTATAGGATACAGAGCTGGAAAAAGGATATTAAGAAGACAACGGCGACAGATGATAATTAAATCTAATGCACAGGTCACGTCTCCGCCCCAAAAGACGGAACAATCAGCTAGCAGAAATAAATTGCGGAAATTGATAGCCAGTAACGCTCTTCGCAAAATACATGGCCCGTGTCAAAAAGGTGGCGAAATTTGTTATTAATACCCACGTAAATCATGCTATACAGGCAGTGTTACAAAACACTCTTTGTCAGCGAGTATATAAAGAGACAACGTTGCCTTTCGTGTCATTTAGCGTTGTTTTCACATCCCCTCGTGCTGGACGTCTAGTCTCCTATGATATTGAACATTAAGATCAGACTTCGTCTAAACTCGAGTTTGTTCGGATTCTCGCAGGCTTGAACCCGAATCTGAAATTTTGCCTTGACCCTTTTTGGAACAGCTCATTAGAATCTTTGGATTGAGGCTCGTCTGGCTTTCGGCTCTTTGGAACCTTCGCTCACCCGCATTTTGCTTTTTGGATGCCAGTGAGCCTGGAAGAAGAGCGTCTGCAACAATTTCAGGTAGGCTTCGCGCCACAGTTATCACAATTTCATAGGTTCTTACTTGAAGTAAGTTAAACGATGGAGCAATCCAATTGCCATATGTGTTTTTGACATCAATAAAACACAGTATAACACATTCATTAGCCAAGATGCTAAAGGAAAATGAAATTTAAACACCTAATTTCATGAAGACTTTCCTTTGCAGTGAACTTGCTGGTTATTTAAGGAAACCTAGCGCAGAAGCACTTTTATTTTAACCGATAGCTTTCCAATGTTTGTTCTGTTATATTTCATAATTTTTCTCCATTTGGTACACGTGTCTACATATCGATATTGCACTAGAAAACATAGGTGTTGGCAATTTTCCCAATCAACAATGGATACATAAAAGCTGACAAAATTTTACATTTTCACCCTTTCATGACAATTTTAAGGGAGAGAAAATCAGGTTCTATTTCGTTTTGAATTACTTTTTCATAACAAGATCTCAAACCGTAGGGCATCTGATGCCCACAAATTTTATTTAAAGAGTTTATTTATATAAAATGTAATATTGAATTGAAATAAAATATTAAAAATATTAAAAAATGTAAGACGATAGTCACTTTGAAATATCAAAAAAAATACAATATGAAGCTAAACATTCATTGTTAGAACACATCAAAATAACCACTGCTGAGTCCTGAAGAAAAACAAACTGAGACAAAAGCAACATCAATCAATTAAAAACCAGTCAGGTAGAGGATAAAAGACTCATGTAAATTTTAATACGGAAGAAGTTTAATGAAGGAGCACCAAACACATCGAATATTCCATGGAGTCGATTGCAGCTCAACCCGGCTCCATGGGACGTGCAAAATGTGACTGGTGGCTGCTCTTGTGCGACGCTGAGGTGCATGAAGACAAAAGGGTGACCATCTGCTAAATGAAAGTGATTATCCCAGGACTCAAGGGCGCGGTGATGGAGAAGGAAATCGACAAATATCACCAAATATTGTCATAACGTTTTTTCTCTATGGGCCTACTTGGCGGAGATTTTTTGTAATCCTCACCACAGGCATCCCCCACAAACCTGTAAACCCCCATTGGCCAGACCCCAACCACTGCGGAGTTAAAGTTCTTGAAAGATGAGTCTCCCCAAGGAGGCCATATTGTATGGAGGGCGAAAAGTGGCCATCCGCTTTTCTGCTATCAGAATAGTAGAAAACCAGATGTTACGTCTTTGTAACATGCAATTTTTAACGTTTCTACTTTTTGCTACCTCAAAAGCAGAATGACCATTTTACTGCAATGCATTTTCCCACTTTTCTGCTACTACAAAAGTAGTCCTCCTTTTGATGGCGGCCGAAAGTGGTCATCCACTTTTTACCTGTCAAACAAGCAGGAAAGTGAATTGAACATTTTGACGACAACCGCGAATTCAACTTTTCTGCTTTTGTGATACCGGAGAAGCAGATTTTACATAGGTAGCCGAAAAGTGGCCATCTGCTTTTCTGTCCTCAATGGGCAGTGAATGGGGTCATGAACCTGTAGGTTACGACCCTTTCCGTTCTGGGAGAGTGAAGACGTATATAAACCCATGCTTAACCATGTTTCCTGCGGACCAATCCCATACGGCAGTATCAGTGTCCCTGTGAGGCAGAGAAAACAGCATCTCAAAGGAAATGCAGTTTTACAGCTACCATCCAATAAACACACCAGTTTGCTTGGGCCAAGGAAAAAAATATGTAAATCTTTCATCATAAGAGATAGGGTGGACTGTAATTATTGGTTTATACGTCTTCAATCCCCAAGAAAAGAAATGATCAGAACCTTAATTCACGACACCGGTCACGGCCCTTGTAAGGTAGAAAAAGCAGATGGCTACTTTTCGGCCGACTATGTAAAATTGCTCCACTGGTATGAAAAAAGCAAAAAAGTAGAATTCACGGCTGTTGTTAAAACGTTCGATCCTCTTTTCTGTCTCCTCGAAAGGAGAAAATCAGGTGGCCGCTTTTTGGCCGCCAGCGAACGAAAGAAAAAGTATAATCTGCTTTTCTCTAAGTAGGAAAGCAGAAAAATAGAAAAATGTATAACCAAACAATGTTTGTTCTGCTTTTTGAAGTGGCAGAAAAGTAGAAAAGTCGAAATTGCATGTTACCGGAACATAAAGTCTACTTTTCTACCATTCTGGTAGCAGAAAAGCAGATGGCCCCTTTTCGACCTCCATACATCAGGAACTGGATCTCTTTGTTTACAGACATGTGCTTAATGGCGGCTGTTTGGGTTGTGACCTGATATTACTTGTACTTCCACAGCAGAATAATGGAATGTAGTTAGAGGGGACCTCACGGATGCATTAGCTACCATAAAACAGTCGTACAGGTTGTACAGGTTCAAGCATGACCGGAAACTGACCTGGAGACAAAAATCACCTCATGGAGTAATGGTGTGATTTGGGGGTGTGGCTGCTCCTTGGTTTACAAGCATGTGCTGACAGGTCACGGCTGTTTGGGTTGTGACCTGGTGTTACTTGTACTTCCACACAGCATAATGAAATGTAGTTAGAGAGGACCTGAGGGATGTATTAGCTACCATAAAACAGTCGTACAGGCTCAGACATGACCGGTGATGAGAATCTCCACAGGGTGATAACAGTCTTGGTTCTGGGGCGTTGCTTCCCCGAGGGTTAAGGATGTGTGTATAGAGGAAGAAACAATAACTAAGTTGGGGTACTGTGATTATTGTCTCTGCATTTCGCGATCTAAACATAAAGAACAGATGACACCTTTGAACTCGTTCCAGATTCTCTGCTTGCGCCTTAGAAACTGAATTTAGTACAGTACAGTATTTAAGATGTGGCCTAATAATGGTACAGTACAAAGTGAGAAAGACCTGAAGCTCTTAAAAGACCTGAAATCTTTCATTCGATTAACCCCCTTGATTTCTTGAGTGACATGCTATGCAATGTTAGGCTTGCTATAAATGAAAATGCCAAGATCCTTTTGTACATTTATCAGTGATGAAAATGGCATGGATTCGTCCAAAGAGTCACACTTAAAACCAAACACTTAGACGAATTCAAATTTAAATTCCAGCCGAATCATATATATATATATATATATGTTAGGCAAAATCTGTCCAACACTCCACAGAGACTACATTAAGCAGCGTAGGGATCACTTCACCCTACCTGAGATTTTTCGTTTTCAGTAAAAGACCAATTCAACCCTCGAATTACGATTGTTATGTTTTTGCACTCGGTACGCTCAATAGAAATACTAGGGCAACCGCACGTGCACTGCCGATACCGCTTTCTCTGCTTTCGAGCTTTGTCGAAGGAAACGATTTCAACAAAATAACTTGTCCCCTAATTTTGTTGAAATTAAGAACAGAACAACTTTATTTCAGCCGTGCGATCGGATAATACATGGACTCAAATCAATAAATGGCACTAACTATCGCGGATAAAGTTGAGGCTATATACTGGTGTATGGAATTCCATATCTGCCGTCGCCCGTCGTCCGTC